GGGGGGTGGGCAGGATGAAGGTGGAATACTCTCACAGGGTGGGGCTAGGCCAAAGCCAAGTCTACTTAGAACAGAGTTTGCAGCACGTGAATGGGACTGTGCTGCTCTGGCTGGTGGCGTGGCACCTTGGTAATCCCTAGGACCCCAATGTTGGGGCTGGATGAAGTGGACCCGTTGCCCGTGCCCAGTAGCCCAGCAATAATGCAGCAGATGCCTTCAGTGAAAATTCCCCTGTAAAGAAATGATGAGTGAAGTGTTGGTCCAACCTCATCGCCAGTCTGCCCTCTCACCTTGGCCCACTGCCTGCTCCTCAGGCTGTGCAGGCTGGGATCATAGGCAGCCTCCGTCCGCTCTGGAAGCCAGGAGTCAGTACCAGCACTGTGCCTCAGTACTTCCTCCCTTGGACAATTCTGAGCTTGAGTTCCTCATCTGTACCATGAGGATAATCAGGGTCCCTACCATACAACGTAGTTAGCCATTGCATAAGAGTACGCATGAAGAACTGGGTACACACTTGTCAGTAACTCCTTTCCCTGGGACTCCTGCATCCCCGGCAGTTCCCAGCATTTACAGAGTAATTCCCCATTCCATACTCGAAAAAATGAGATCTAGAGGTGGGAGTGACTTTCTTGCCCAAGCCTTTAACCATGGCACCAGTCCTAACCCTACACTTGGTTTCATAGTGGTCCCTCGGGATCAGACATTGAGGTGGGAATACCTGTTGATAGCATGTACTGGAGGGGGTGGTGCACCAGCCAGCCGGGCACAAGCATAGTAGTCACCAATGGACTCAATGATGCCTGCAAGTGTGGCACTGAACATTCCCAGAACTGCAGCCACAGTCACTGTGGGTAGGCCCCACTGACCTGGGTTGGAGACAACAGAGCAGGTTCTTGAGTCTATGGTGGGTTAGGAATAGACGGAGTTATTTGAAAGGGGGATTGGCTGGTGGGGGGTCTCACACTGAAACACAGATCTGGAATAAGGTTTAAGGGTAAACCACCACGGGGCATCCACAAACAGGGCCAATGCTAGCTGTGTTGTCAGCTGAACTGGAGTCACCAGTATCTCACAGGAGTTTCAGCTGGAAGCAGAAGGGACCGAGTGGGCTTGCTTACATGGGTAGGGGATTGGGATCCAGGGTGAGCTAGCCATGATGTCGCCTCGGGCATCAGTTCGTGCCTGAAAGCCATAGGCCGTGGGATCTGAAGGCAGCACATCGGTCAGGGTCAGCACATAGCAGAGGAGCCACACAGTCATGATGGCCAGCACGATCTGGAGCAGGAGGGCGAAGGGGCTGCAGGCACCAGAAACCTGGTACAGGCTAACCCTGGCTGCCCGACACTCGGCCTCTGGCTGCAGCCCTGCCCTTGCCGCAGCCTTGGCCCTGACTCAGGTCTTGCCCCTGCCCTAGTCCCAGCATCTGACAGCTCCTTACCGGAAACATCTTAAAGATCTGGATGCGGAAAAGAGTGAGGCCCTTGCCCCATCGGTAAACAGGCAGCAGGAAGGTAAGGTTGCGTAGGTACTGGGAGAACAGGACGATCAGTAGAATGGAGCTGGGGGCAGAGACACAGGAAGGAAATAGCTGGTGGGCCAGGCTGGTGCCTGGAAACCAGGAATGAAGGGCTTGGAGTCAGGGCCTGGGATTGGGCAGAAATAGTCCATTTCCCTGCTCACCAAGCTGAAATGCCCCAATGGGAGCCAGCTCTGTCACCAGCAGCTTGGAAAACAGAGAGACCAATGAGGGAAACAGTGGGAGTGACTGTGAGAGGCCCAATGTAGCTGAGCAGGGCCCCAGGCAGCCCCATCAGCCCAATTACCACCTCCACCATGCTGGACACCATGATTGCACCCTGGACCTAAAAAGGCAAAATCGTCTATAAGTCACCTTGACCTGGCCACTAGCAGAATGTTCAAGTTTCTCAACCACCACCTCCTTGAATACAACTCAGCAGTGTATACAAACCACCCATCTAGCCCCTCTTCCAAGCCCAATCTCTCTACCCACCTCTCGAATCCGAGGATGCCAGATATGAGAGGTATCCAGAGGCATACTCCAGTTACCATAGATCTCCTCTGGGGACAGAAAAGAAAGAACACAGAGCCATGAATACACTCTGGTATCTAGACTCTGGGCAATTGCCCAGACCTCCAAGACCTCTCCCCCAACATAGACATCAAGATTGAACCCACCTTGTGGGGGACACTTCCACCTCTCCAAGGCCAGGATAGCTTTGGCTGGAACCAGAAATGCAAAGGCACTGGCCTGAAACAGCGGCAGCCTGGAGGTGGCACAGAGTAGGGGAGGTAGGAGGTGGAGGAATGGGTTGAGGAAGAGAGAAAACTGGATGTTTAGAGGAAGGGTAAGAGGCCTTGAAGGGAAGGCATGGAGACCCCAGGGTTACTCCCATCAGCTCAAACCACACGCTTTGTCTTGACCCCCCTCCCCGGAGAGCCATGTGCTCGCTCCATTTCTGCATCTGAGGGCTGCTTGCAACTGTTCACATACACCACCACTGAGCCAATCAGATTTGAACTGTTCATCCAGGGCTAGGACTCCCCCAGGTCCACATGGATGCTGGAAGCCTGCTCACAGGGATAGGCAGTGGGGCAGGGAAGCAGCGCTCCTAAACTTTGGAAGTAGAAAGCAAGAGAAGGAGACACCCTAAATCATGGGCTCCCTAGGAGCCTCCCAGCTACCTATCTCTAAGCCTGGCCAGGCAAGAAACCAGACGCACTCAGAGAGACCACGTGCTCTGCCGTGTGCAAGCATGCAAGTGCATGTCTGCATGTGTGTGCTTTTGAGCTGGGGAGGGGCAGCTCACCGGATGCCCACTGTAGTCTGGATGAGAGTGGTGATACCCACACAGGTGAAGATGGTGCCGATGAGCTGACTGACCATGTGCTGGTCACGGCCCACACACAGCGCCTCAGCCAGGAGGAAGGGCACAGCAATGGTGCCACTGAAGCATGTCAGGTAATGCTAGGGTGAGAGGAGTTCGAGAGGTGGCCCCACAATACTCACGTGGAAACCTGCGCCCCAGGTCAGTGTCCTGAACCTGGACCATACTGACAGGCTGCTTATTCGAATGGCATTACTCCTAGGGATTACCAGAGAGCTACTGCTCACTGTGCCAGGGGCCCCAGGCTCCCCCAGGTTATTCCTATGGCTTCTGTGGATGGCCCTTCCTGTCTGTCCTATGCCAGTCACAATCCTCCCAGGCCACTTAACCTTCTTTGGCACTGCTGTTTGGTGACAGTCATCATGCTGACCTTGTTTCTTTCTCTAGCCTGAAGTGACCTTTTGTCTGGGGAGGGTTTGGGATATCTAGGGAGGACACCACGTAGGGCTGGAGGCCTTGGGCTAACCCACCTGGAAGCCCAGCAGGATACACAGGTACCATGGTGGCACGTCCTCAATCTTGTACAACATATCAAACTTGGGCTCCATGGGCAAGGATGTCTTCTGGTCCCTGGTAGAAGTCTCTGCTGAATCAAGGGACTCATGCTGGAGCAAGAGAGAGCGGCAGCTCAGGGCAGAGTGATGAACAGGCAAAACCTATGCTGCCTGGACTAAGGGAGCCACAATGGCCCCCAGCAATTCCGTGAGGATGGGCTGGAGCAGCTACCCTCCCCAGCAGATGGTCACTGCTCCATCCCACATCCCAGGTTAGGGATGACAGCACTGTCCCAGGGGCCACAGTCCTTAGGCTTTCTAGTGAGGTCCCT